ATCTTCCTTTTCACTTTACCAATAAATTAAACAATTATATTTCAACTTAAGGAGCATTTAACGGTTTTCTAAAACATTTCATTCAAATAGATAATCATAAACCTTCATTGGTACTGTTAATATTTGAAATTTCTAAGGGATTTTCTTAATAAGAATGCTTAACTAGTACTGTTAAGTACAAAATAATCAAGTGATTAAAATACATAATACTATCATTCTGTATAAAGTACAGTTGAAGTATAGACACCAATCTTCCCAGCATTATCATGAACTAGATAAGAAAGTGGAGGTTTACATATGGCCACATGTGGAGTCAAATGAAGATAAAGGATAACACTTTACATGTAGGTGGTTTGTGTAGCATCACATTGAAGGTTGAAACAGTTAGTTATTTATTCTATTCACCCTGCTTCTCAGAGAAACGTCATCTCCCAGGTAGGAAGAATCCTTTCCAGGAGTCAGTTAGTATCAAAGGAAAACCCTATTGTTCCAATATAAATACCCAGAGGGAATAAGAAAGCCGATCATGTCAAGTCATTATTTTTCAACAAAATATAGAGTTGCATCATGGTCTGATTAGATTTGTCACTTACATGAGACTGATCAGATAAAGAAACTCTTGAATAGGAACAGGGAAAATTGAGGTCATCCTTGTAGGTTTGCTTTGGAAAGAAAAGTGCTACTTAAACATGAACAATTATATGCTTTTCATAAGAAGCATGGACGCATATGCGTGCGTGCTTGGTTGCTCAGTCATATCCGATTCTTTATGACCCTTTGGACAGTAGTCCGCCAGGTTCCTCAGTCCATGGGATTCTCCAGGCAAGAATAATGGAGTGGGTTGCCATGTTCTCCTCCAGAGGATCTTTCTGACCCAGAGATCGAACCTGCGTCTCTGGGTCTCCTGTATTGCAGGAGGATTCTTTCCCAATAAACCACTGGGGAAGTCCCATATGGATACACTCTGGCATCCAAAAATCAATGTGCTATAATTTTAGAAATTAGAATTTGCAACTACATCAAATACAGCCCACTAACACACCATGGGCTTGTCCCTGGCTTCCATCTAAAGCCAAATTGTTTCACCTTTGCCAAAGTTGGAAGATATGACTTTCAACCTGTTTCTTCATCTATTCAATATTACATATTATTATCTATGGGGTTTTTCAGCAACTTTCTTTCTAGTATTCTTATCCTATTCTCTTTCTATATTTTTTACGTTTTTGGGCCGTACCGTAGAGCTAGTGGTATCTTAGTCCTTCAGCTAGGGATGAACCTGGGCCCTGGCACTGAGAGTGCTGAATCCAAACCACTGGACTGCCAGGAAATTTCCTGTTCTCTTTATAATTGCAGTGTGGCTCTTTCAAACTCTGCCCCCTATTCTCAAGCTGCCCCAGCCTCTTTCCTTTAGTTATCAATGGCTATACTTTCTTTTTTAACTGAAGTACAGTTGATTTATAACATTGTATCAATCTCTGCTATGCAGTAAAGTGACTCAGTTATAGACATATACTCTTCTCTATACTTGCATGAAAAAGCAGATATCATAAACCATCAATTCTCTAAAAATTTCACCCATCCATCTCCAGATTTATATTTCCTCTTTTCACTTTTCTTCATTGTTCTAAAGAATGCAGTACTCGTCTGTACTACTTTTCCAAGGTTAGTCCCTTCACTTGAGCTCATGATCAAACTTTTTTTTTTTTTTATGATCATACTTTTGTTAGCAGCTCCAACTCCAAACTTAACCCTTGTGTCCCTCAGCTTACCTGTTCTGAATTAAAAAAAGAAATTCCCTTGAACTCAATTCTCTCTCAAGCAACTTTAATTCTCTTTTCCCTTTTAACTTAGTAATCTTTTACAGAGATGCTTGTACTTGCTGATATCTCCACTTTCAATTCAAACCTCCACTAATCCTATTCTTCCAATTCTACTACCCTACTGAGATGCTTCTTGCAGTGGTCCTCCCAAACTTAGTCATTACAAACCATAATTGGTTCTTCGAATTACTCCTGATCCTCTGCAATGTTGTTTCTGTTCTCTGTCCTTTTCCTTTAACTGTTGTCTCGTTCCTCCTATAGCTCCAGCTTCACTGTGTAAAAGTCAAATTCCTTATGTTGTCTACTTTCTACCCTGTCCCCATGTCAACATCATTGTTCATTTACAAGTTTGGGGTCAAAACTTCAGCATTCTCTTTGGTTCTCCTTGCCCACTGGTTATCTACACACACACACACACACACACACACACAGCCTCCTGCCTCTGGATTAACTGTCATCCCACCCCAACTCCCTTGACCTAGGCCTCCATTGTATTAAGCCTGCTTTGTTTCTGTGAATTTCAACATGAACGATTTCCCTATAATCACTTCACATTACTCAATCACTCAACAGTAGAGTAATCAGAAGCAATGAAAACAAGAATGGGATCACGTGATCCCAGCTAAACACCTCTGTGATTGTATTCCAGTCTTTCTCTCTTGCCACGTTTTCCTACCCACACCAATCAAACTGTCATTCTTTAATTGAGCTATGATTTTCCTCACCCCACATTATCCAAATGTTGCCCTCTTGGCCTGGCTTTCCCTGGTTGGCAAACTCTCCTTCTCCTCTCCCTTTCTCTTGTAGATGTGTAAATGCCTCAAGGATGGAGCTTATCACATTTTATGACAAAAGTCTAAACGGTCAGCCCTCCTGCCCTGCCTCTTCTACCCCATGCAGACTGGAAGCTATGAATAAACCACAGTTGCTCAGTAAGTATTTTTATTACGTGTGAATGAATAAACAACTATCTTAAATTTCAAACCTAAGAAAACAAGACAAAAATAACAGAAATAGGACCAATGGGAAAAGGAAGCTGTTTTGTAATGAAGAAGAGTGGACAGCATCAATACAATGAATTAAGGATGAATATGTACTCACTGGGGCCTCCAGATGGCTCAGAGGTAAAAGAATCTGCCTGCCAATCCAGGAGATGCTGGATTGATCCCTGGGTAGGGGAGATCCTCTGGAGGAGGAAACGGAAGCCCTCTCCAGGATTCTTACCTGGAGAATCCCATGGACAGAGAAGCCTGGTGGTCTACAGTCTATGGCATTGGAAGGAGAAGGACACGACTAAGCACACATGTATTCATGCATGCATGTGAGCGTGAAGGAACAGTTGAACAAGGAAGTGTAAATCTCTAGCAGGCAACGAGGCAATGAGTTCTGGAGCTCAACTGAGGTTTCAGGGCCAGAGACACTGAGCAGTAAGTCATCTGATGAAAGCTGATAGCTGAACATATACATAAAAGAATTTTCCAAAGCAGAGGGAAAAGGGTCAGCGTCTATATGTTGGAGATAATATGTTAAGGGGTGATAGGCAGAATCAGTGAAGAAGAGGGCTCTGAGCAGGAGGGAAGAGAGCCCACAACAGTGATGGGAGTTAGATTAAATGCACCTTGTATTTCCTCTGATAACCAGCACCATGACTTCTACTTTGTGGGTGACTGATAAATATTATTTGAATTGGGATGATTTTCAGAAGTCAATATGAATTAAAGATACATTTCAGGATATTAAGGCAACACAACATATAAGGATATACAGCAAGTAGATGTGGATCTTGGAGTGGGGTTGGAAGAATGTGGAGAGATATAATTATGGAAGAAGGTTCATTGCCAAAAAAGCAGATTAAAAAAGGAGAGTAAATTGGGTAGTTTTTGAAAGATGGTGGCGACAGGTGCACAGAGGTGGGTAATGACATACTTTTACCTGTAGCCTGCAAGGCCAACAATTAGGACTTAAAAAATGTTTTTTCACCAATTATTTGACACAAAACCTGTCATTTCATAACATTATTAGTTATTTGAGATTAAGAACCCTGTCTTAGAGTTTTCTTCTATTTCCTGTAATTGTCAAACAAAGACAGTTACACGATGGGAATTTTTAAATTCAGAACCTGAATCAAAGTGATTGTACTTTAGCGGCTCATTCCTAGGGAGAAGAGAGTATCATCATTTTATAACTATTAGTAAATGGCAACCAAGAGCCATTTCATTTCTAGAATCTCACGTAGACCTATTGGGATAACCTAAAGACCTGTTTGAATACCAAGAATAACACTAGACATTCAGGGACCCCATACATTCCTCTAAGATGTACTGCAACCTATCCTGAGCTTTTGAGATGGTGCCATGAGAAGATGCTGTTGTTATTGGATGGATGTCTATATGCAGAAGAGGAAACTGGACATTAACTCTACACAGAGGCAAAGTGATCTTAAATGACAGTGAAGGTACTGAGTAAGAGTTAGGTCCTATTTAGAAGCCTTCAGAAACCAGACAACTAAAGAACACTACAGTAAACAGGAATGGAATGTGCTGAGAAAATGAGCTAATGATGGTATGTGATCTGTAAACCCGCTTATCTGTTTTAATTACTTTCCAAGCTGTGCCATGTCTTAAACGATATTCAAGCCTGTCCAATGTTTTCTCTACTTGACTCCAGTGATTAATATTCCAAAAATGGTTTAATTTAGGCAACCCTCCACAAAGATCTCTCAAACGAGCCAGCAAACCAGTGCTAACATCTGTGTGAAGATACATCAGTGAAGATGCATTCAAAGAGACATACATGCTAATATCACGGGGACTTGCAAACTGAGTTTAAAGCTTTTCAAAATATTCAGAAAAATTCACATGGTTAGGTAGCTAAATCTCAGTCAGGTCCTACATGAATATAAGCTAACATTTTCAGTGTAAATGCCTCCATTAAAAATTTAAGTCTCACTTTTCCCAGACAATGTACTCTCTAGGTTAAATAAATGTCCTACCAAGGGTGAGAGCATATACAAATTCAATCTACTGTTTATCTTCAGTTTATATAATTTTGCACATCATCCTTTTTAAATTAGAGAATGATGCAGTTGAACAAACATCATTGGTTTTATCAACTCTAGAGAGAAATTTACGTGGTTTCCTCTAGGAGTTTTCTTGTCACTTTGCTCAGCCTCATACTTACATGTCACTGGCAATGGAGGAGTTTCGGGACATAGACTTTGGTGAGAGGTCATAATCGCTGTCGGAGCGATATAGGAAGGACTCCCGACGCTGGCTGTGGACGAAATTTGCTTGGAGAATCAGCCCAGATCCCGGGCTGGTCATGGGATCCAAGGGACTCCGTCCTGAAGATGTGCCATTGTCCACATCGAAACTGTCAATAAGGGAGAAAAGGATGACACTGCCGTGAATTGCATGTTTATGTTTTAATAAAGTGAGATTTCATTTTAGGAAGTAACAGTAGGAAAACTAGCAGCTGAATCATTTTGTTAAAAAAATTATAATACCAGAATACACAAAAGAAAAATAACACACTGACTTCATACACTTGTCTTCCCAAGCTTTTGAGTATTTCTGCTAACTGACCAGATACAAGATACATAGATCTCTCCAAACTCAATTTCAGTTAAAAAGGAGCCATTCTGCAAAGACTGGTTCTCCTTAGAAGTCCTTTTATATAGTAATTCACTAAATATTTGGGTTCAATTCAACAAGTGCTCATGACATGTCTAATATGCTTGCTTCCCCAAAGCTGAGCTTCTCCGGAGTAGCTTCTCCACTCCTACCTACATCTATCAAATCACTAATTTCTGCTGTAGCCACTTCCCTCCATCCCCACTGGCAATATAGTAAGTTCAAGATTCCATCAGCTCTCACTTATGTTTTTATAAGAGTTTTAAAACTAGTCTCTTGAATCCATTTTTCATCCCGTATGACTCTCCTTAAAATGTAAACCTGACTATGTAATTCATCAGCTAAAAATCTTTCAGTAGCTCGCTGTTGTCCTCAGAATAAAGGTCACATTCCTTGGCTAAACTGACAGAGTCATAGGCATCTGTCCTCAAGGACGGTGATCCCTTTTCCCAACCTTGACATGCCACACTCTTCCATTGAGCAGTTCACGTTCCCTTCATATTGAACCACCACCTCCTTCTCTCAGGCTCTAGTGACCTAACCTTCTTCTCCCCGGTTACTCGGCACCACAGTCTCCTGCCTAACCATTATTCATCCTTGATGACTTAGCCTCCACCTGAATTACTGACTTGATACCCCAGAGCTTCATGAGATGCCCTTTCTCTGCACCCCCAAGACTCGTTCCCACTCCCTACAGGTGGCGTTTATAAGGAGCTGGAAATAATTACCACGTGATCTCCATTCCTAGACTGTGAGCTGAGAATGAAGATTCTAAGTGTTCTAAGCACTCACATGGCACTTCAGAAAAGTGGTTTCAACTAATGATCAAATGAACGAAAAAGGCACGATGCTCAGCAATACAGATTTTAGAGTTTGGGAAGAAAAGAACTACAGATGCCATTCTTGATATCACATACTTTATAACCAAGATAAACTTTCTACAGAGTTTTTTTCTTTTTTTTTTCTACAGAGTTTTTCTAGTCAAACATCAACCAGTATTAAAATGAAGTCAACTCTTGTGTGTTCCTATAAGAAGAGGGTGTTAGCTCATGACAGCCCAGCAAGTATGTGGTTTAAAAACTCGTTAAATGAGTAAATGAATGAATGAATTCAAGTTCAGTTGTTACCAATGTTTTCCCCATTAGAATCTTGATCTAAACTATCAACTAGCTAATTTTTAAATATTCTTTTGCCACTGGAGTGATTAGTAATAGTATTATGACCCAAAGACTAAAGGCCAAAGTGAAAGAATTATCCAGATGCTTGATGTTTCATGAATCACCTATGATTCTATGACCAAATGAGAACACTGACTCCAAATCAATCCATCTAGTAGAAAACACACACACACACAAAGGAAAAACTCAAAATCTAGCTTAGCCGGTCACAAACATGTTTTTCAATTCAAAATTTTCTTAGAATTTTGTCACTTTACAGACGCATTTATTTGGTCCTTAAAGGACACTGAGGGATTATCTACTTGAACAGATTCATTTTATAGACGATGATACCAGCTCCTAGAAAGGTTAATTGACCAAAGTTACTGAGCTAACTGGATTATCTGAAGTTCTGAAGTTCTTCCAGCTATAACGCATAATCACATAAACCACAAATGTGTGTTAGCAATGAAAAGAAAGTAAAAGTCACTCAATCGTGTCCAATTCTTCATGACTCCATGGTATATAGTCCATGGAATTCTCCAGGCCAGAATACTGGAGTGGGTAGCCTATCTGTTCTCCAGGAGATCTTCCCTATCCAGAAATCGAACTGGGGTCTCCTGCATTGCAGGCAGATTTTTCACCAGCTGAGCTACTAGGGAAGTCCTAGGTGACACCCAAAAAGGGACATCTGTTGCACGTGGACAGACACTTCATGCATCTGGGATTTTAGCAATCCTGAGGAAGGCCAGAGGGAAAGGATTTCTAATTATTAAAAAGACTTATACAGGATCTCTGGTAAGTTCTTCTTGGACATGCTTAACTCAATAAGCATTTGTTAAATACCTACCACGAGCACTCTGAGTTACAAAAATAAAGGCAATGAGATTAATCCAGGCAGGGATATCTAAGAAATCTTCAGGGAAAAATGGTATTTAAAGAGGGATTTTGAAGGCATTCAGTATACAGTTGAAAGACATGAAAGACCTCTGCTTTGGGAGAGGATAAGAGGTGATTTCTGCTCTAAGGAGAGAGTCACGGCAGCTCTTCAGCATGAGGAAGTTTTAATGTGAACAACATTAAAACATATGTTTTAAAACAAATGTTTACGCTGATTTCCCTTTAATATCAAAATGTGCTTATTGTTCTAAAAAATAAAAGGTAAGTACCCTTTTCATGCCATGCAGAAACAAAAGTATAAGAGCTATAGGAGCATAGTTTGTGGTTTAGTTTTTCTCAGTTCACCTGAGGAAATACCAATATTACTCCCAAATCAGTAATTTGTAGTTTTATTATTATAATGTTTCCAATTAAATCAAGCGAGTCTTAATTAAAAAAAATTCTCCACTATCAGTTTTGGAACAAATACTGCTAAGTATCTTTAAAATTTTAACCTTTTTGGGCAGTTATATTATCTGTTAACACCAAACATTTATTACTAGGTCATAAAACACTTGATAGAGGATAGTCCATGGGCTTTGATAGTTTTCTTTGCAGGTTGTAGTATAACAATTTGTCCACTAGAGGGAGATCATTTTCTTGAGGAAAATCTATTAGAACTAAAAGTCAAAACTATTTCTTAAAGATTCATGAAAACAACCTCTCAAATATTTTTCAAAAAAAAAAAACCCTCATAGGTTCATAGGAAGTGATTACCAAATATCAGTAAAAACACAGTAGCCTAAGAAATATTAATATTAGCTTTACAGATTAAAAATGACCTTAAAATGCTCACTTTTAGGTCACTGTTAGTAGGCATTCACTCTTACTTTTAAAAAATGAGCTCTTTTGTAAATATTAGAACTGAGGATCTTCTCCTGGAAGAAATTAGGTTGAAAACACATCAAGGCAGTAATTCACTCAATGGATAGCAAATTAACTGAGACTTTATTTAGGCTTAAAATATGGATGATTTCAAATAAGCTACTCATTTTTGAAATGTCACTTTATAAACAATGTCACAGTATTATTAATAAAACAAGTAGGAGATGAGGGGTAACCCTAACCTTAGATGTTGGTACCAAAGAGATCAGTTGTAAATTTGCCAAACACATTCTTTGGCAAACACTTTAATATAATGAATCCTCTTTTGACTCACAGCCAACATGATGGCATCCAAGGATAAAACTGGACTGCAAGGAGATCCAACCAGTCCATCCTAAAGGAAATCAGTCCTGAATATTCATTAGAAGGACTAATGCTGAAGCTGAAATTCCAATACTTTGGCCACCTGGCATGAAGAACTGACTCATTTGAAAAGACCCTGATGCTGGGAAAGATTAAAGGCAGGAGGAGAAGGGGACAACAGAGGATGAGATGGTTGGATGGCATCACCAACTCGATGGATATGAGTTTGAGTAAACTCTGGGAGTTGGTGATGGACAAGGAGGCCTGGTGTGCTGCAGTCCATGGGGTCACAAAGAGTAGGACACGACTGAGTGACTGAATTGAACTGAAGGATAAGATTAGCAGAACCTTGGGAAAGTAAGTATAGAGGTAGGGAGAGTGAGAATATCTGAGTAATGATGATGGTGAGACTAATAATCACAATGATGATAATAAAACATCTAGAACACTCTCTAGGAATTGTGCTGTGTGTTATATATATGGCATCTCATTAAATCTCCACAATAACCCTTTGAAGTAGGCACTATATTTTCCATTTGACCAATGAAGAATCTCCATCACAAAGAACTGACTCATGTTAAGTGACACCTCCAAGGCCATACAGTTCATATGTGGGTTTTAAACTCAAGCTATCTGATTTCAGGGCCTGGGAGAATGGCCCTGTTTATGTCTCTATTGCAAAGCCTCCTGTTATTTGTTACAAAAATAGAAAAAAAAATCTTCTAGCTTCCTAACCTCAACAGAATTTCAAATGTTAACTCATTGAAAGTAACATTCTGGTCACTTTATGGATCAAGCATTCCAAGGCTAATTCTGGGGCCTGGTCTTTATATGACCCTCAGTTTTGGAATTTGCCAGATCCCTATTTTTCCAGTTATGAACACAATGATAAGGTGCGAAAGAGTCTCTGTTACAACCCATGTGGTAGGTTTCTTTCCAGAGTCTGAGAGCTCCTTTGGAATAGGGAGGGCTGGTGAGTCTGCAGAAGGTGGAGGGGTGGTAAAGAGCAATGGCCCCGCCAGTCTGCCGCACTTAGAACTGCTGAAGGCTGTGTGCACCAGGCACTCCTCATGACCACTCACTCCACTCAGGTCCCTTGCTGTGAAATCTGTCAACAGCAACAAAAAAAAAAACCAAAGAGAAAACAACCAAATTGACCAACCAACCAAACTGCTCCCCACCTCTCTACATTGCTCTGAATCAGCACAATTACTGGACTACATGTCCTGATCCACCTTCCACTTGGCCTCCTTCACTATTCCCACACTTTGTGTTTCCTGACCTTGCAATTATCGGTCCACTTAGGGCTATTTCCCCCTGTTTTGCCTGATTTTAGACCCTGCTCCTCTGTTTTATGCATTTTGCATCTCATCTTGCCCATAATGTGCAGTCTCTCCTGAATCATGGTTCTGCTGTTTTTCATGGATGAACAGCTCATCTCATGTTGCCTGGCCAT